CATTAAATATAATATTAATGTATATTAAAATTAGAATAACTGCTGTTGGTTGTCATAACAACGAGCGATTACTGGAAAAGTAATTTTTCATTTAGATTATGCGTGCTTATAATTTATAGTTTTAAAATTGCTTGCGCTATAATTATGCTTAATTAACTATTTATTTTTTAAAGAATTCAAAATCGTTCAGGCAACCACATTATAATAAAATAATTATTTATTAGATATCAGCGATGCATGGCAATATTAAGTGTACCGAAATTGCCTATACAATGCGCCATTATACAAATTTTTACAGCATCATTAAATTTGTATAAAAAGTTTTAAAACAGAGTTTAATGGAAAGGCAAACAAAATCATTATAATTCTTTCTCGACCAAAATATTGTAAGATAGCAAAAATTATCTTATAGTTTTTGTGTAATTTAACCTTTACAAATTATAATATTGGTAGGAAATAGTAAGAAATAATAATAATACAAAAAATTATTATATTTTTCACTCACAAATAATTCTTTAACCGTGTAATGCGATTTGTATTTTATTACCTAATGGTATAAACTAAAAAGAAACGTAACCATTAAGTTTATTTATTGTAAAAATAAAAATGAAACAATATTAAAGTTATATGATTCTTATTACGTTTTTTTTTTTTTTTATTTAAAACCGTCAGCTAAACTGTATATGGATAAAAAAAATGAATCGTAAAATCTGTGAAACAGTGTGAATATTATTGAATATACCTACATACTATATTATACAGTTGATAACATATTTTTCAATAAAATAACGAATTCAGCATCGAATTATAATTTATCAAATTAAATTAAATTGAATAGTTTAATAATATTTTGTTATATATTATAATATGTTGGAATAGACATTAAAGATAGAAATATCTTATATGCAATAAATAAGAATCAGGAAGCTGAAATTAAAATTAATTCCACAACAAAGACAGCTAATATACAGAACAGAGTAAGACAAGGATGCCCACTGTCACCCTCTTTATTTAATACCTACGTAGAGCAAGCGATACGAGATATAAAACAAAAGCTAGAAGAACAAAGGATAGTAATAGTAATAGGAAGTATCCTAATATCAATGATACGATTTTCAGATTATATAGTTTTGCTCGCTGCATCTGAAAACGATTTACAGATTTACAGACAGCACTTATTGAAATGGATAATATATTTTCAAATTTTAAATTAAATATAAATACAGAAAAAAACAAAAACAATCGTGTGTAGTAAACAAAATGATCCAAACATTAATATTTAATACATCAATAAAAGGAAACATAATAGAGCAAGTAAATCAATTTAAATATTTGGGAAGCATAATAAAAAAAAAACAAATAAAAAGTAGAGTAGGGCAAGCAAAAAAGGCATTCCTACTTAAGAGTTAGCTACTAACATCAAAAAATTTAGATGTAGAACTAGAAAACATATGCATGGAGTACAGCATTGTATGGCAGTGAACCATGGACGTTGGACAAAAAAGAGGAAACCATTCTAGAAACTTTTGAAATGTGGTGTTGGCGTAAAATGGAGAAAATAAAATGAACGGAAATGAAAACCAACGAAGAAGTACTAGATTTAGTCAAAGAGAAAAGAACATTACTAAATAATTTAAGATTAAGGCGTTGGAATATGATAGGTCATAAGCAAAGGCACAACGAAGAACTCCATAACATCATATTGGTAGGTATGGTTGAAGGGAAACGTGGAAGAGGTAGGCCAAGAACGTATTATATAAGTCAAGTAATCAAAGATGCAAGAGTTGATTCGTATAAACAACTCAAATATAAAGCAAAAGACAGAGAATCATGGAGAGAACATTAATTATTGTAGACCAATCTTCGAATTAAATACTAATAAAAAAAAATAAAAATACTAAAATAATATAATGTATGAGGGAGGTATTTCACCGAAAAGTATTTATTTATTAGGAAATTGATGCTGAATTATCGTATTAGAATATTTATTATATTATTATGTGTAGGTTATAATTATTTATAACATACTTTACATTTAAGTATACAGCTAGATGCACACGTCTTATTTTGAATTATTCAGTATAAATATTGATCAGTTTGTTTACATGTTAAAGACCGACTATGTCATGCATGAAACAGTAAATTATATATTATTCCTTTTCATGTAGGTAATGTAAATCAATTTTATATGAAAGTATAGTAACACACTATTATTGTTATTGTATACCGTATTAATATATTATTTAACTTAAGAATAAATGGTGTTATAAAATCAAAAACATGCCAAATATTTTGATCATAATTTTAGCTATTTTAGTCACGTTATCAATTTAAAAGCGAAAAAACACAAAATTGAAATTGAAAAATGAAATTTTGCATTTCGCATCTTACATTCAAAGAGTATTGGCGATATGTATTTTATAATAGGTAAGTGTAATAAATAAATATAAATTAGTGTCAATAAAACAAGAGTGAAAGTCCTATTAAACTAACTCGTTATGATGTCATTCAAAACTTAAAACAAATAAAATTACCATCTTACGAATTTACGATCATAAATTATAAATTGAATAAAATTAAATTAAGGACTTTAACCCTTGTAAACATTTTAAGCAAATACTCAATATTTTATAAGCTTTCTTTGTGTATGTATTTTCAAAAAATTATTGGTAGACTATAATTTATAACATATTACATTATTTATTATATGTGTGAACTAACTAGTTATCTATGTATATTAAAATGGAGAGTGAAAAATGTATGTTACCTCATCAATCGAGAACGGATGGTCCGATTTGGCTCAAATTTTTTTTTATGATGTTCATAATTTCCTAATATGTTTATAGATTCTGGGAAGAAGACAGGCTAATTTAAAAATAGTTAAATTTGGTTTGTTTATTCATCCAATATTAGTACGGTTAGGTTAGGATATAATATTAATTGAATGTATTAATCCACCATAGATGTAATACGAAAAACTTGGTATAACTTTGATACTTTAGAGTTAAAACATACACTTACGTACAAACAGCACGGGATCCACGATCGACCGCAGTGAGATTGCTGATTTCCTACCTGATAATATACTGCTGCGAATCAGAATTTTTATTCCGGGCACCGGAAAAGTTAAGATAAATTTTGAACACCATACACCGAATATTAAATAACGAATTGAACAAAGTTTGAGTCATATAGAGTTGGTACATTTAACGGACAATGGAGTGCACGGGATCAGCTAGTTTACTATGGATTTTCTAATAAAGAAGAAACTAAAAAGTTTGACAACAAATAATAATTATAGTAATTTATTATGTTCATTATTGGCACTTTAATTATCTTTAATATAGATAAAATTAGACAATATTTGTATGATCGTATCGTATTACTGGTTACATAGTATATTATATAAATAATATATAACTATTTAACTACAAAATAAGAAATATAATTTTGAAATTAATACCTTTACCTTAAAAACAATTGTATTAACCATTATAATTCATAATTTATCATCAGAGAGTATTGTTATGGGTAAAAAAGGGAAAAAATATGATAGGTAATATAAAAATGTCATGAGGTGAGTACTTGAACTGAATGCACACAAATGTTTATAAATACAATTCTCTGTGGAGTTAAATAATGAAAAGTTAAATTTTAGTTTGTAAAAAAAAATACCGATAATAACGTTGTATATAAACATTAATTTGAAATGTCACCTTCATTAATTTAAGTGACTAATTTTTTTTTTTGTACTGAATGTCGTTATTTCGATAATAGTCGACGTCGGTAGGTAATACAATACATAATAATATTAATATAATATTGTCATTCATCAAACATCAACATTATTAATCATTGACATGTTAATAAATATATTAAACTCACAGGGTCGCACAGGACGTTTGTTGTGCTGGAAGGTGTGTGTGTAGGGGGGGGGGGGTACAATCCCTAACCCCCCCTGGTTGCACCACTGCTCTCCTCTACTACGCCGGTGTAGTGTTTAGTAAAGTACACTAGCTAATATTAATTGGTCTATTCATTCTAGTGTTCTTCTAATGTTAGTAGGTACCTATAATAATATCCCACACACACAACAATTAAAATTGTGATAGATGATATCGCTACAGGATTCATTAGGCAACATATAAACTGTATACCAGGATATATTATTATGTGATTGCCGCGTACACGAACCATTTTCGGTGACAGGACAATGTAATTATTAGAGTCAGCCGGCCGATCGCGAATAGCGCACCGTTAAGGCACTAGGTTCGAATGTCATTTGTCCAAAAAAATACACTCTACGGGGAATAATGACCTGTAGAATATACCAAATTTGATATTTATTTTTTTATATAATAGAGGGCTATTTTCTCCAAGCCGAATATTGAACACCGTTTTTCAATATTTTATTTTAAATATTTTTATAATAATACGTCCTTAAAAATAAAAAGATTAAGTTTTTTTTCCAAAATATTATTCTATACAAATATTTGAAATAAGATAAAAAGTCGGAACTCTTATTTTTTCTTATTAAAAATCTTATCGAAATCTGACAATTCTACAAGACCTGAGAATATATTCCTGCTTTAAGTCCATTTTTTATACATAATACACATATGAACCCTCTCCCCCCGCCACCGCTAAATAGATATCGGTCAGTAGATTAGTGAAAAAGTATTATAATTATTAAGGTCGAAACTAAAATACAGTCGGATTTGGTTAGCTCGAAGTTGAAGGGACCGGCCATAAAGCTCGAGTTATACAAGGATACTACAATTATAAAAAATCTTAGAGACCGGGAAAAAGTTGGACGTATCACGATTTCGAGTTAAAAATTTCGAGTCAGTCAAGTACGACTGTATAAAATATAATTTTAACTTTTTATAGAATTTGGAAAAACGGGCACCGTGGCCGTCAAGTGTAGTCACTCAGTTATACAATTATTGTTATAGCTCGTGACACCCACGGAACAACGCGTTATTATATAATAATGTCAATTATTTTGTAACCATAAACCACACGTTCATGTGCTGCGCCATGTATTCGATCCAACCCGATTCCGCATTGCCACCTGCACAACGTCTGTTGTAAACAGTTCTACCCACGTACAAGCCGTGGGAAGTCAATATGGAGACGAAATTTTCAATGGAAAACGCATCATAATAACGCGAACGCTTTACACGGAAGACAGTTGTAAAAGCAAATATAAAAACGGTCGTCGTTTGTGTTCGTTTATGCTCTTCTTTAAAAAATACCAAAGATCCTCGCGGAGGAATGCTATTGTACACCATGATGAGCGCCATTCGTTCGTCACACTTATAGTTCTTTACTTTCCTTTGCTATATTTTTCCAGAGTGAATATTGTTCGAATTTAAATCATATACGTGTACAATCCGCAGGTAGTTTGAAACCAATTGGTTTTCGAAATCTCCCACTACTGACGTCATATAAATCCCGGGCAAGCTTATTTTTTTCAATCAAATTAAAAATTAAATTATTATGCATGTTGTGTAAGTATTTAGTATATGTACAACAATTAAGTTTAAAATTATGTTAATAAAAAAAATTTCCCTTAACTTAACTTGAATTAATAAATTACAAAATAATATATCATTAAGTATCTTTTAAAATAAATGATATTCATATGAATAGTAATATTTATTATACCTTATGGATGTGGATGCATAATATACTACCTATATTATGAATTTTTTTAAAACCTGTGGAATGTATAGAACTATCTTCACATTTAAATTTGAATATTAATGTACTTTTTGCGTTGTTCAACTCTTACAATTTTGAATCTACAAAATAAATATATACAGACTAACATCTTCATGGTATATTAATAAAAGCATAAACATTTAAATATAAATTAATAAATAATATTGACAAAATACCTACCAAAATAAAAGTTTTGGAAGTGTAACCCAACCAATTGTATTAAAATACTAAGTAGCTACTGCTTAAAAAATACTGCAACAGTTTAATGAGTGGGGAATGAAAAAAAAACTGTATAGTATTATTATATAGGTACCTACCAGCTACCAATATATATTATAATTTATATAAATATTTATTGAAACGGCTACAAGCCATGGTAATCGTATTCATAAGTATTATGGATAAAACTCTGTGTGCTTAAGGCTATAATTATCAATAACATAGCGATCAATGTTTCTCCTATATTATTAGTAATTAATATTATGATAAATTAGTTTTTGTCCATAAATAAAACACCAAAATTCTACGTTATCAAAAATGCATAGAGTGATTATTTTTGTAATGGCATGTTATAGATTCAACAAACTTGAAATTCTATACGGTAATAACCAGAAATATTGTTCCTGCTAATTTACAAATCAACATAATTGGGAATATAATATGTATTGATTTTTTAAGTTAAGGCAAAATTAGTTAACATAAAATTAAGCTAATGAACCAATAATCAAGTAAGTTCAGTCAATACGGTGAAATAACTTAATATAATATTCAACATTGTAGAAATCTAATTATCACGTCGATAAAACCAACAAATATAGTACACCAAGTAGTTGTATTTACATTATTTTGTTGTGAAACGGAAACTAGGGGAGGAGTACTAATTTTCCTAAGCGTTGAAAGTATTTTGTAAGAATTCAATCTTAAATTAAATTCACACACATCCCCTTAGGTCTGCTTCAATACCCAATAATGTGTGTCACGTGATTTACCTACCAATCAAATGTATTATGTTATGCTGTTTTTCATAATTGAGATTAGAGTCTGTTAATGGTTTTGATTTTTAAATGTAAAGAAACTCTTATAATATATAACTGTTCCATTGACATGTAATATTAATATTAAACAATGGTTTTAATATGTATCTTGTTTCTATGCATTTCTTTTTTCTTTTATATTTTAAAGTGAACTAAAATCTTCGTGGCGCATAACGCGAGTTGACAACCTCGAGTAACGAATGACCACGCAAATACTTGAATAATACGGAACATTTATTATAGATGAAGGGTGTGTGAAAACTAACGTTCAAAATAAATTTGACTTTTTGTTTGTTTGTAGTTTCACAATAAAACTTTGTGCTAAAAAAACTCATAAATATCAATATACAAGTTAGTTTGCAAAGGGTCTTCTCCTTAGTCATATTTATTGTCTCTTGTTTTTCATGATTGTTGAATATTCATTTTATGCTCGCTGTGGTTCAATGACAAAATATTAAATATAACTACCTGTCTACCTATAGAAAACCATTTAGGAAATTTGAAGACAATACCAGTTATTTGGGTTTAAATAGGAAAACAAACATTTTACCGAATATTTTATAATATTAATTTCAAAGCAACAATAGTTTATCAAACACGCAGTATTATGATATTTCATATTACAAAAAACAACTTAATAATATTTCTATAGGTTACATCAAATTGAATTGAAATTCATTATTGGTATAAAATTGTTTCCAACAATAATAATAAAGTTTAAACCCACTGCGACTTACAATTGTTTTAATAGTACCAATATAGGTACTTGAAAGTTAAGCCGATTTATATTATATATACTTTACTTTTATTGAACATTAATATCACTTTTTATTTGTATTGAATATTTATTAATAACACATGAGTTAAAAAAAAAACTAATTTAGAATATTTAATTGTATACATTAAAATAACTGAGAAGGATGACGGCTAAGTTATAAATTATAATACAGCAATATTATAGTCAATATAGACATATTATTAATTTTCTATTTTTTCAAGAAAAATAATTTACGAGTAAGTACTTAAATACCTATCGCACCACTGAAAGAATAGTGATACAACTCAGAAAACACAGATTATGATAATCAGCTATTTAAGTCTTTTAAGATTTAAAAAAGGTTTAATCAAATTGTTATATTGTTTTGATAGAAGTATGTTAAATTAAATTTTTTTTAAATATGCTTTATAGATGTTCTAAATGTATGTATTATTATTAATGCTATTAACAAATTTTTCAAACATTTTGACTTATGTCACTATTCGTGACTGAAATAATATTTTTTGTGTATATTTCGCCCTGCAGAAAGAATAGTGAATCCACTCAAAACTGAGAATTAAATATTCAAATAATACCTAAGTCAATAACAATAATACATTTTAATAATATTTTTAATAAACTCTTTTTCAAAACTAAATTATTGATTTATGATATAGACAATATAGAAATATGTACCATTTATTTTTTTAAGAAAAATAATTTACGAGTACCTATACTTATGTTCTATTTAATATTCGTTTATTTATTGTTTTAATTTTTTTTAAATCCAATAACTTTAGCTAAAAGTGAAGTTTGTCTAATATATAGGTATAATTAACATAGTATATCTACTAATTATTATGTAACAAAAGTTTTCACTGAGACCCTATTTTACAATTTTAGTAGAAACATAATATTACACGATAAGTTATAATAGAATAAATTACTATGTTGATAATATTGCTGTTGTGGCTGTGTGGCTTAAATTAACTACCTACTCCCCCAACATTTATTAATCATAAAATAACGAATTTAGAATATCGACCATATGTTTTTTTAATATAAAAACGTTTTATTTTTTTTAATAGAAATTGTAAAAATGTATTGGCTGAAATGAAAATATAATTTATTTTTGCAGGTCTTACTTTGAACTACTCCATTTATGTATAATTAAAAAAAACATAGTTCAAACATTCAAATGGCACACATTGTACACATGATGTGTAAGTTCATTGTATAGTTTATTACATTTATTTTATTTCTATATTGTGAACACATGTGTAATACTTAAGTCGTGTGATAGTTTTTATTTTTTAATATACATCATTTCGGATTTTTGACACTTTTAGTTATCAGAGTAAAATAACAACTGGGATTGCGGAAATTTTTCTAGACATGTTTGTTATTTAAGTATCAAAACAACGTATTATGGTAATAATACGATAGGGTACATATTATGTTGTACGTTTTTCTATGCTATATTAAAATTAAAAAGTATTACAGAAAAATTGAGATTGCGTCTGTTGTTATTCCCATACATATTTCATCAAATTAATATTTCCGGGAATAGCTCTTGTTTATTTTAAATAGTTGATTCTATATCAAATGTTTTAATCGCGTTCGAAGAATTATCAATATCAGTGATTTTCAACTCAAGTGGTGGACAAAAATACGCTTTCAGAAAGATTAAGATAAGAGTATAGGACGGTCCATATATTCATATTGTGTATACTTATTATTTTTATTTTATAAAATTGCGTTTGAATAAATTTTTAGCCACCCAAATCACATTATTATATCATAGTTATTTAATTTGTTTTAATTAGTGGTGTAAAGAATTATTCAAACGAACATTTAAAAATATCAAACTTTCAAATACGGTTTTCATTACAAAAATAACTTATTCACCAACAGAATAATGACTTCTGTATTGTTACCATAAATTACATATTATTATAAAAACAAGAAAACTTTATGAGCAAAAAAATGTTTTTCGTGTTTATTAAAATGTTAGTAACAATGAAACTATAAAAATTCTGAAAACAACAAATAGTATTGTGAAGTGGACATTTAGAAAATATATACACTAAACCATATTATCCTATTGATATTTTTGGCTATACATTCCTTTATAAAGTACTTTCTGCGGAGTTTATCAAAATTAGAAATATAACCCAACGCGTAGCAAGATGTCTCGAACTATTTTATCTAGTTGGGATTTATCATCGAATATCTATAGGAAAATGTAAAGCAAAACAAATTAATACATCTGGAAAATCAGAAAATAAAAATTTGAGGAGAATTTTTTTTATTACTTTACAGGCATTTATTATAGGTACTATCTAAACTCTAAAGTATACATAATAAAACATCTAATTTTTATATGAAATACTAAATTACATATTATATTCTTATGACGTATTACCTAGGTACTTACTTATCTAAATTATTATATTTTGCGTATAATTAAAAAAATAGTTATTATAACTACTATAAAGAAAATACACAAACATTATGTTAATAGTTATCCATATGGTTTTTCAACAAATCGTTTTTTTTTTATATAATGCCTACACACCTAACTGTGACCAAATAAAAATGTTTTGAGATGCAAGGGGCCCACCGATTTTTGTTTGTACACAAATATTATTCCAAGTAAAGCCACCCGAAACCCACCACGAGTGTGCTCGAGTCGAGTTCATATGACAAATTACGATAAATTGACCTTTGCACCGTTTTGTTTACAGGAGGTATCGATATTCGTTTTCGAAAAAAAATTGGCCGACAAGCTGCACAAACCCAGACGGAAGGAGACGGTGACGGAGATACTGAAGAAGAGCGTGCACTATCTGGAAATGCTCAGACAGCCCAAACTCATACTGAAGGTGGTGCACTCGGTGGAGGACTGCAACGACACGCTCGCTTTTGCCGCCGAGCCCGTGATCGCCAGTCTGGCCAACATACTCGCGTACCAGGCGTCCGTCGGCGGCCGGGCCGTCAACGGGCCACCGTCCACCGGTGCGTCCATCATCACGACCACGGCCATGCCACGGCCGGCCCACGCGAGGGAGTACAACTTTTTGGACTTTGAGATCAAGTACGGCATCAGACAGGTGAGTCGGACTGTGTTCGCCTGCCTGACGGCTGCGTTCAATAAATATAATCAATACCCGCGCGTTCACGACCACCGATGAAACACAGTGATACCTAGGTATATATTGTGTTTTTTTTTAAATAACAATTACCACGACTGGTTCGATATAATATAGCGCACTTCTATCATCTGACCTGACATTTATTTTTACAAACATTTTTCGGAATAAATACACGAACGGTCAACTGCAGACCCATTATTATAGTGTTACAAAATCTTAATCCGTACCTATATAGAATATAATATTATGATTTTCTGCTGTTCAAACATAAGTGATGGTATTTTTTTAAAACTATTACGAGATAGGATTCAAAATTATTAACCGGCTAATTGATTTTTTTTTGTTTATCAAACAAGTATTTATTTATTTATTTATTGTTCTCATAAACCAAATAATTAAAAATTATAATTATTTTAATAAAGTAATAACAAAAAATAATAACGGCTTACTCGTATTTTATCGTTATAAATATTACGTTTCTTTCGTAATAAACATTTTAAAATATGTATGATTCCTATCAGCAACATTTATTATGTAAATAATCATAATGACAAAATATATAACAATACAGGAAATGTATAATAGGTATATTACATAAATAACCTTCTAAAATTAAACTTGCAATCATTTTAAAATTATTAACAGTTTTAATTTTAATTTTTAATTTCTTTCACTTCATGTAGGTATATAAATAATATATTATATCATCTGAATATATAGACGATTGCCATAAAATCTATTGAAATTCTTGTTGATTTTTTCTTTAAATGTAGTCTCATTATCACACATCATAATTATTATACGGATATGTATTTGTGGAATAATGAAACTTCTTAATAAATTTCCAGAACTGTTATAAGCCTATTTAACGTACCTATCTACCTATTTAAAATAGATATATTAGTATTGATGTGACAGACGATAGTAGAGAGGAGACGTTACAATATTATTGGCATTTAATATTAAATAAATTATACAGCGTAACAGATAATTTAATCACAAGTTTTTCTAAAAAAATTTTTATTTTTTATTATTATCTATGTTTTTTATAGTTTATTAAAATATTATTTGTTTAAAATCACTCTCAGAATAAATATAGCAAATTATTATTTTATTGAATTTCGCATGAGTCCGTCGCAGTAAGCAATATATAATATAATATAGTGCATCTATGTATACCATTTACGTACTACAAGTTTTCTAAATTATTAGTGAAATAATATATAAATTAATTTTCTCGCAAGATTAAATATTATATTTATAAGTGAGTAAAAATTATGATGAAACCAATGTAGACCAGCTACCCAGAAATCTCGTAACAAAGATGTATTGTTTTAATATGAAATCTGGCCAACGGACGTAACAAATGTTAATACCATTACAGTTTCTTTTTTCCTTTTTACCAAAAGTGGGATTACGTGACCCAAAGTTGAACAATATTAACGCACGATAGAGTTTCTATTCAAATTTTCATATACGAGTGAACTGCATTATTATAATTTAAGATTTATAATGTAGTCATGAACCTAGGTAAGGACTTATGATGGAATTTATGAAAACAACTCGTAATAAAAAAAACATCTACTAGCATCGCATAAAACAAATTCCTCATAGGTAATTTTTATTAGTTTATTAATACTATACATTTAACTTGTCCATAATTAAGGTTATGGTGGACGTTCTTGGTCTAATATGTTTAAATTATTTTATGGAATGTACAATCGTTTCATAGACCTGCCTACTGCGAGTCTACTTCTGCGAATATGGGTGATCCCTTTTCCATCTGTTTCAAGCGACTAAACTTGTAACAGTTTACTGCTGAATTATAATTAACACATTATATTCGTATAATGCATTCATATTATTACAATCATATTCATTATAGTTTATAATGTATATTATATCGCAAGTCTGCACCTAACACACGAGGATGCTTATGACTCTTATTATATCCTTCAATCAATACAAAATATAAACAATAATAACATTATATAATATTGACTATGGGGATATTTTCAAAATATTTCACAGAATAAATTCCTGGCGTATTTTAAATTTATGAAGTCTAGAGATGGGTACATAATTCTTTATTTGAGTCATTACTAGAATTCTTTAATAGACCTAAGACATATTTTTAATGTCATAGTTTTCTAAATGCATTTATAAATGTATTATATTTACATCATACAATTTATCAATAATAACTTAGTCCCGAGTCGTTATAAAATATTTTAGTTACTATATAAAAAAAAAAAAAAACGGGGAAGTGAATGTCGCTTTGCTGTACAGTAGGTTACAAATAGGTCAATGTATAATGATTGTATTAAACTTGAATTCAGTGGTATAATATCATTGTATAAGAAAAACGGTTCTGAGCGGCGACGGTTTGTTAGTCTGGATATTTTATATTGTTATTAATTTTTAAATCCTGTAAGTTGATTAATATTATAATAACTATTATAATTTTTATTTGTTTCCCGTTAAAATCCCATTTTTAGCGGTTTTTCGTAATTTGTCAGTGGTTTTTCCAGTGGTATTAAATAACTATTGAAAAAATCGAAAGTACTCTAAAGTACCATCTTGATCCAATTTTCTAAAAGATAAGATGGGTACTATATGTTGAAATAGAAGCACTCCTTCTGGTAGAATTTTTTTATATAGGATACAAAAATAAATAAATAAACACCATTGTAAAACCGCTAGCTTCCTTACTTCACTCAGAATCTAAAATAAATAAATAAAAATAATTATTAAAAATACATAGGTATATAAAAACATGAGTGATATTAGAATGTTACTCAATAAAACAAATAATTAACTACAGATTAAATTTATCATTTTAATTTAATAACTTAAAATCTTCAAACAATATAGAATATTTGCATTCTAAATTAATATCTAGTAATAATAACCACTATTACCTCAGTCTACCCTTTTTAATTGCCTAAATAATAATTTAAGACTAAAGACAATGTGTTATCTACATAATATTGTTCAGAATTTTTTTTTTTGTAACAATAACACGTCATATTTGCTTTATAATATCCATTTAGGTTAAGATTTTGTAAAAAAATATGTGTATTTGTGCTTTGGAATAAAAATAAAAAAACCATACTATTTTAACTTTGGATACTTAGTCTTGTTTTGGTTTTGTTTACAAAATTATACTCAATGTAATTTCGTTCAAAGAAATTATCTTACAAAGGACTGTAATAGATAGTATATAAGCTGTTTATTTTAATATCAAAGTGATTTATAATAAATTTTCCTTTGAATTCACACAGGTATGAATTAATTAAATTTATAACATTATTTAGTATTTTAGATATTGATCAAACATTTACAAATTAATCATGCAATTCATAAAATAAAAAAAATATACCTACTTCGTCGTAATTGTGCAAAAATGGATGATAATAGTGTAATAAATACAACTAAACTCTTTTATTACATTTGTAAAAACCGTAGGTCTACATCGTGGCTTGCCAACGCACATTTTTTTATGCTGTTAAAGGTATGTTTATGTTTTTTTTTTCACATTCTGATGCTGTCATTGACCTAATAAATAATTAAACTAAAATTATGATGACATTTACGACACGATTCATAAAGTATATAACAATATTAAACATATATGTGTATTGTGAACATAAACATTATTATACTAGCTGGATAACACGACTTCGTCGGGGAAAAAGATCGATTATAATAATATATATAATTATTAATTACCTAATATATATCTCATGATTATAACAATAATACTAAACAGTTGTCAATATTCACAGCGATAACAACGTGCTTATAAATCACTGTGAAACAATATTATTTGATTTGGCGATTGACGAGACAATAATATTCTGAACAATTATTGGTCCTCGCATTCTATACACGGAACATCGTGATGGTGGAATAGTAACCTAAACTTTTGGCATCATTACCCGGGTTGGTGTAATGGGAGTGACAATGTTATCAACAAATACATTTTGCAGCCGCTGATGGCAAAGTGATTTTTATTAGATTTTACTGCAGTGCAGTGTGAAAACTCAAAAATGTAAGAGATATCAAAGATGACAGACACGAACAAAACAAAATCAATAATTATAAGAATGTGAATGAGTACTACTCAATTAGAATCTAGGTTGAATTTAGAACGAAGTATATTAAAAATTGAACTGAAAAGTGTAAGCACGGGATTTATGGTGGACTTAAGTCTTCTTAGAACTGAGACAGTGACGGAAATGTATCAGACAAGAGATGATCCACAGTGCCACTGACGTTCTTCGGGGTTCAGGATTATAACAAGCATTTGGCTGTTGTTCACTGGTTCCGCCCGGGATTAAAGTTGATGATTATTTTTATATTTGCGTCAAAAATTTACGAGTTGTTTAAGTACTGTTAAATCTCTACAGAAATCTGTGTGGGAATTCATTCATACGGCACACTTGGCTATATATTGAACGAGGGTTTTAAATATAAATTCCACAAAGGACTACGTTTCCCTTAATATTGGGATCAGTGACTACAAACTATTGTAGGTAGTCTATTATAAAGTTGAAAATAATAAAATGTGCTTTTCATTTTTGTTTTGTCATTTCCAAAATTAAATTTTAGGAATCTATAAATTGGGTTACGAAAGTTGCTCAATAAGATTCAATACTACAGTTGTAAATGGATATTCGTATATCTAATTAAAATTTTTTTCTATCCCTCGATGTAATATTTGTATGTTTATCGTAGTTTTTAAATTTTTTTATCAAAGTAAATGTTAACAGCAGTATACAATCGAACTAAAACATCATAATAAAAGGTACATTATATGGTTTTTAAGAGTTTAAATACGGAATTCAACGTAAACAATAATTTGTCATGGTAAAAGTTTTACAGAATATTAACCAATTTATTTCAAATATCATTAAAATATAGTTTATATCATTAATATTATTGTGTAAATCGATAGATCATACAAAAATAATCATTGTGTACTTCAACTATGAGTTTATACAATGTTTTATCCACCATTATCTGCATCATCTCTCATATCTCTATTATAAAAATGGTTTCGTCAATTAATAATTACCATGGAAACCAACCAAATACCAATATTAGAGTTCCATTGAAATTTGTATTTTAAGGAGGATAGAAAGAGGCTTTAGATACCAGATGAAGAACACGCACGTTACGAAAAAAAAAGATTAATATTTAATATCAAACATATAATGGTAAAAATCAGAGAAAAGGATAAACGAACACGTGAAGAATATTTCGACATGACATCAAAGGAGCAAAAATTAGAGAATGAGAAAACTGATGAGCCTGAATATTTACATATCGGTGATATGACAGAAAAATGTCAATATTGCGATCCTTCCTGTTTTAAAAATGAAAAGGGGAGATCTACGAACACTCGCTTTTGTCATGGAATATTTAAGCTGCCTGAACATAATGCATATCCACAAGAGTTGAAAGATTTACTATACTTACGGTGACGGCGAAATTAATAAACATTTCAGACAAAACATAAAAGTTTATAATAATTTATTTGCATTAGATTTTATTTCAATGCTCGGAGGGTAGTTAATTGATATCGGTTGGCGAGTGAACCCCCTAATGGTCAGAGGGGGTGTCAAAGCCAAGGGGCCAACATTAAAATGTTTACGTTGTACATACCTATACATACAATGTAAAAATAACTATAAATTTTATTTAACTGTTGCTTATTTTATTTTTTCCTTTTCGCTCGACTTATGATTAATGATTACAAGCGGTAACTATATTTTTAAGTAAAACGAATATAGTAATAACTTATGATGGATAGATATCTATAAATACCCACAGTCGTATATTAAGCGTTTTGTATTTGTTTTTGGTATTAGTACAGTAAATAACATCGTGTTTGCCCACGTATCCACGTACACAGATTATGCTCATTAAATCCACTCCTAAACTATATTGACAAACGACAAAAGCTTGCTTTGCTAGATATTGTAATTTAAATTGATAGCTCAACAAGTTGGTCCCTAAGGGAATATACAACCCAAACATAACTTTGATAATCTCGAGCTATTACATACCTACGCAAAGCATTTTCCTGATTTTTATTAACGTGTCGTTTCCTCGATGCCTCAATACTGAGAGACATAAGAACCGGCAAGTTATCGTATTAGATTTGAAGTGATTCTGATTTACCTTTTATCTCTTTTTGAGAAGAATTTTTTTGATAAAACGAATGCTTTTCGTCAGGTCTTACAAAGCTTTTCTTTGATTGTAAATCGATTTTAAAAAGTAGGTACTTTTAAGAAATAGCTTTAAATTATTTCAATAATATAATACTTAAGCATCAATCACTGTATATTTTGATATTGAAATAAAATGTCGGCAATCGAAATATATCGAAAAATTGATTGCTGAGTGCAAACTTGGTTTTTCTTATTGCTCTAAAGTATAATATCTTAAGTTATGATTAACAAAATTGCAAACCTGTATCAGTCCCTGAGTTGAGCATATCTTAATAAACGGCTTACACTTGACTCCTAAACTTAAAACTACGTAATGTTTATATCTTATTTTTATAGGTTTTATGGCTTTTAAATAAAGTCCCGTAATACTTATTATACCTACTTAGATTTTTTAAAATATTTTTACCGTATTTATTTCTATTATATATAAAAAAAAAAATGTCTTAATCCCTGACTGGGTGTTTTTTTTACTGCAACCATGTAATTAATATGTGTATGCAGAGCTTTATATTTAATAAAAAAAAATATATTTATTCAGGTAATTAAAAGTAATATTTTTACTTTTATTATTCATTAATGTAGTAAAAATGATGATTGTATAAATATCCATATTAAAACGTATATTAATCTAATTCGACAATATAGTTTTTTGATAATCAGTTACAATGTGAATTTCTTTATGAGTCATGCCTATTACATTAATAAAATAATTGTACATAGGTATTATTTAAATGTGATGTGAAATTTATTAAATAAGAATCATTTTTATTTCAGTTCCACGATTTAATGTACCTATACCTATTTAATCAACTTTAAAATGTTAAGCCCGATGTGATGCAAAAAATATTAAAAAGAATTTAAAAATTATCAAACATCCAAAATTAGATGGTTCATAATAACACAAATCATTCTGAATCATAAATAACTTTATCGTTATAACCAGAAATGGCATATTTGAAAAAATGACAAATATGTGTTTTTAATAAATTGTATTGATGATTATTGACAGGGAACAGCAAATAGAACAAATTCAGTTAACGGTATAAGCTACTTGGCCAATAAAAAATTTAATGAGAATTTTTTAATATTAGACTGTACAAGAATATATTACTGTAATTTTAAATATTATTTAGTTAAAAATGTCTTAATATTTTATTATTTTTTATGTCTTACAATGTATATATATAATAACTATTACCCAGTTAGTACACAACATAATTACAGTTGTCGTGTTTTATATACGAGGGACTGAATAAGTTGTAAGTGTATAAATTATCTAAGCGCTAATCTATATATCGTAGTCTATTTTTGGTATTACTTTCATAAAACAATTATGGTATACTTACACATATTTTATTTATTCCTGAATCGAAACATGAACGCCACCTATACCCGGACTCAGCTACTTATTTTAACTATATTTTAATGACTGAGTAATAGTAAATAGATCCCTGAAAAAAGATTATTATAAAAATGTTCAACATAATGTATAATCAAAACAAATATCATAAATATATATTTATACAACAGTTTATAATTTATCAATACAACATCTAAAAAAATAAGATCATGTAGATTAAGCTGATTTCCTACTATTACATTAGTGCAATTCAATGTATTATTAATTTAAATGTTAAATAGAAGAAAAAATACATTCTCCCAGCTCAAATACCTTTTTTAAGTAGATTTTGATTCACCAAAGTTTGTTTAGGATGTTTTTACAATTTAAAACTTGAAGTTGCCAAAAAAAAAAATATCATTAATTAATATTTTTATTTTAGTTTTGAATATATTTATTAGTTTAATACCGACTTAAGATAATATAAAAAACTATAAATTACATTTAAAAAAAAATATCCAAATAACGTCATCATATTATAATACAAATTAATTTGTTGCTATTTTTTGATATTTTCTAAAAGAACTTTCAAAAATTTAAAAAATTGAACTTTATGACTGTATACTTTTTCTACCAAAACAGGTAATTCATAAAACATAAATATACAAAACAGTATATTGCGTATTGCATAGTATCACTTCACTTGGAAACTAAATCATCTCATTAAATCCAAAATATTGATAATTTTAATCCAAAATAAAATATTTATGTACCATTTTCCTATTATAATAGTAACATAATAAACTATTGATATCAAAAATTTAAATTGTTTTCCATACAAAAATACAATTTTAATTTAACAAATTTCAGATTGCTGAAGCCCTTGATTTCTTATCACCTCAAGTCCACCACCACAATGTTTGCCCAAGCAGTATATTGGTCACAAAAACAGGAACCTGGAAACTTAGTGGTCTAGAATTCATTGGTATGTATCTTTTATTTATTCAGCACATTGATGCATTAGTAGTTATATTATGTTTATATATATTATGATCTACTTATGGTTTTATTAACACTTATCAGTAGTTTTATGGGCAATCATACAATTAACATCAGTTTCGATTTTTTTTTTTTTTTTTTTATTAGATAAATAGAATATTTACAATCTGTAATTTTTATGATACAATAAGTAAATTAGGTAATGAAAGAAACAATAATAACATGAATGGCTTGAGGAGGGAGGCCCACCAGTGTGGGTACCCTCTAACTTGGGGTGAGGGATGTCATGGAGTGGACGAATTGGGAAGTGTAATTTTGTTAATTAGGGAAGTAAGAGCCAATAGAAGAGGGTTTAAAATACATTTTAAATCTTCAATAAATTTGTTGATGATGTGGAGAGGTTGATTGACTGATGAAGAGTTGGCTGTGGCTTTGGCATAAGATGTCGGTTTTTGATTTGAGTTGTAACTGGGGACGTTGAAGATTTGTGGTGCAACAGGTACAGCAGATGGTGGTGTACGGGCCGGGTACAAACAATAATAGGCCGTGCCGCCCGATTACCAAAATACTCCTTGCGCCATTACACCACTACTCCCAGACCGACCTATGTACTATGGTTTAGTATTCAACAGGAATTGGACAGGTTCGCCGAGCAAAACCTGCGAGTACTAGTTGTGGCGGTGGGGTGTGTAGGTGTGTACTTGTGTGGGTGTGTGCTTAAAAAACTAAATAAATAAATTTACAACAGAAGGGGTTTAGGCACAAAATCAGAGTATAATTTCAACAAATAAATAATTATAATATGATATCATTATAATATCAATGTGATTATAAATAATAATAATATGTTGCTGCAGCTTCTTGAGCTGTGATAGAAATAATAATAATATGTAGCCCTTCTGGCTCAACAGCTATGTTATAATAATACTAATAAATATAAATATATAAACATATATATAAAAAAACTCACAAATTCGACGGTGCTCGGCTGGCCAGCTGCTACCTTTCCTATAATTTTTAGAATAATAGAAATAATACACGACACATACAATGCGTCGCAACAATAGTTAAGTAATAGTAACAACGCCGGCGATTAATGTCTTACAAAAAACAATAGGTAGGTATATAATAACGTTGGCGATTAGCGCCTTACAAGAAGAGTATAAACACTGGCGATTCGCGCCTAATAACAATAATACTATTTGTACGGCGATTAGGGCAGTACGAATCACTCGTTTCGCTTAGACACTACGGAACGGACTGCTCGCCTCGACGGCCTATGCTGAACGATACCGCGCTCGGCCTAATCTACATATTATATAATATTAAAAATAATTAATAATGATAGTGACCGTGTTAGTGTGTGAATGTGTGGGGTGGTCGGTGGAGAGCACATATTCTGTGGCGGCGGCGACAGGTGCAGGGATGGGTTAATTTTTCGGTTTATCAACTTTGTGAATTGTACGCTTTAGTAAGTCTTTAAAAATTTAACAACCTTTGTAGTTGGCAGTGTGGTTACCGTCACAATTTAACGGGAGCTTTAGGAGTTAAGAAGTCAGAAACGTATTTAAATTATTTGTAATAATATGGAATTATATAATACCTTATAATATACGCTGTGTGTAATAAACATACACGGTAAATAATGTATTAATATCATGAACTTAAAATCAAACTAATCAAACATGTTACGTGTTGAAACACAACAAATATTGAGAAATTACTCTTAATATGTATACTTGTTGGAAATGTCCAGGGTCGTAATTCATAAATAATAATAATTTTTAAATCATCACATCCACAAAAAATAATTGATATTTTAGCTTAAAAAAAACCTAATACAATATCCACTGAGGATTTCAGTGTGCAATATCATATTATTACCTATAACCTATGTAGTTGACTTTTGACTTACGAAAGAAACTGACTTTGAAATAAGTATATTCTATACATCATATTTTGATTTTTACACAGGAAATATCCGTAATCGACCGATTTAAGGATACGAAGTTATAACTAACGATACCATTATGAAAACGCATCGTAAAAATATGCAAGATATAATATTGCACCGGTATTTTCGTTCAGCACGAAAATTCGCACACGTTTTTCTTTTAGTTTTTCGCAACTGATGTGCTGGAACGTACTGCCTATTGCTATTTTGCGTGTGACGAATTACGATAAACTTACTGTCAATTTATTTTTCACGGTGGTTGCAGACAAATCTGAAGTGGAAAACACGTGTCAATACTCAATGTCCACGTTCCTCGCGTGTCCGTGTCGAGACGGATTTCTATAGAATATTATATTATATTTTACGCCATGCACATACTCAGACAAATCGCTGGCATTTTTCTCTTCGGGAACGCCGTCCGGTCTATATATTAATCTAGGCAAACGATAAAATATTCCGTCGTCGCAACTACGATAACACTGTTCGAGGGCCACCGTAAATCACGACCCTCTCAGTGGAGTCGGGCGTGGGCGTAATTAAAAATACGTTTTCTCCGTCCACGAGCAACAGCAGCTGCGATTAAACGATTAAAAATTATTGCCATTTGAATAAAATTGTCCGGAAACATCGGCACATGGAGGTGCTTATAACATACCAGCTGCCGATAAACTCAATAGGTTTTTGCAATATTTTAAGGATAACTCGGATTTAAATTGTCCTCCCCCTACCGCCATCCATCACACACACACACGCAAGTCGCACGTTTAATATGCAGTGATTTGTGTGGCACCGCGTGTTTAATGTTTTGTGACACTCGGCTGTTCTTCACTGGAGTGAAATTTTAAGTGAATATAAGTGAATTTTACTGTGCAGCTCAAGTGCGGCGGTACAGGTATAATGATATTTTTGCGGAATATCAAATAAATCTCAAAACGCTATTTTCTCTTATGTTATTGTTCGATACTGTTGGCAGTAAACTTTAATCGATGTTCGCGCACACCGTAAAGGGGAGATAAATTAGAGTTATTCAATAGGTGGGTATAGGCTATGTGTGCATGTCAAAAACACACATTTTGGTATTCTATACAGTGCAGAGAGAGTGGGTAGGTGTGAGTATCCTTGCGAGTTCTCTTCCGACAAATAGCTTCTTGACGATAAATAAATCATAACAAACACAGTTCAGTAGGTAGTAAAATATAATTTCGCGATACTATCAAATACCTTTTACGGTCGTTTTATACGTTTGTTTGAATAATCAATTCCTAGAAAACTCCAATACAAAACAAAAATGACTGAGTATACCCACTTGGTTTAGTTTGTAACATTAAATATTATTTACTCCCTCTGACGATTGAAAAACGTAGAAACATGTAGGTCATCGTAGGTTTAAAAGATTACAAATAATATTTTTATTTTATTTAGACAAATATCATGCGATACGTTACAATAACATACACATACGTTATTATTATTATCATAAGAGCTGTTTGCACATAAGTGACCTGTTTGCACAAAATTATGGGATGGAGACCTTACACCAATATTCCGGGACACTTTTAGAAAACTTTAGAGATTTTTTTGACCTTATTTTCATGAAGGGGGGAATTTCCAATTTTTCGCTGACTAGTTTTCACTGATATTTGTTGGGTCATGTTGTTTTATTCAAATCATGTTATTTTCAATTTGTTAGACACTGCTGGAAAACTTTCAAAAATGTTTGAATTTATTTTCACTACCGGGCAAATTTTCAAATAACTCTAAATTAGAATGATAACCTTTACTGTACAACCAATCAATCAACCTCCTGCCAAATTTCAGTATAAAACTAACAATGTTAGTTTAATATTTAACCAGTTTGAAAAATAATATTTATCTACAATAAAATAAAATTATCAAATTTTTTTGGTTGTAGTTCTTTACTTATCTGGGAATTTAATAAAAACTTTATTAAATCTTGCCTGTACTTTTAACAAATTTCATGAATACATTTTATCAAATGTTTATCGATTTTTTGATAATAAGAATAATATTTTGTTGCGTTTTATAATAATAACATATTATTATGTTTGTTTTAAGTTTTGACAATTTGACATACATAAATGTGTATACCTACTGTCAAAATTGTTCTTATAATCAGCACTAAAAATTGGCTATTCTGAATTTTTCCAAACAAATTTGAATCAAATATAAATTTTTTTATTTTTAGAATCAAATATAAATTTTTTTATTTTTAGAATCAAAAACAAAAAATAAATATTTTTTTGTATTATACTTGTAGCACAAGTAATTATATATATTTTTTGTTTATATTGAATAACAATTTAAATATACAATCTGTATTTACATGTTATACAATAAGTAAATTTGATGAGATTTGATAAATTATATATTTTATAAGAAAATTTTTAATTTGTTTAGAATAAAAGCTATTTCATCCGTCAGGTCTTTATGTTACAGATTTTAGATTGATTTAAGGCATTTGTATAAAATAATATTGTTTTACAATGAACAATTTGAATTATTTGGATAGTCTAATAGCATAATACGTAACTGTGATTTACTTTTTATAGGTTTTGTATATTTTAAATAATTATTATTTTCTTTAAATATAATATACAAATTAGAAAATTAAAACATTATTTGTGGTTTACAAATAATATAACTATATAATATAGTTTCGTATAAACTATAAGCTATACGTAATTAATTAACTTTGGTAAATATACATTAGTAAAATTGACTCGATAATTTAATAATGCATTTCTATTACAAACAGCTGACTGGAAATAGCATTGCTAGAATGTAGGCTGTAAATTAATAATGAAAAAAAAAATTTTTAAGTTGTTAGATAATATTATTCGGACAAAACGCGTTGTTTGTATAATAATATTAACCTCAGTCTACAAACTATAATAGTTAGGTACCTAGAAATAATATTTGAAACAGAAATCCATCTGCTAATAATAAAATTAAAATATAAAATTACTTATAAATTAAAATAATTGTATAACAATTATAATATCTGCTTATAA